TGATGCGGAATTTATTTTTATCAAGTGTTTTTTTTTTTTTACTCAAAGACATTGTCTCTATGGATCATTTATGTGCAAAAAGTTACATATTTGAGTTTGGTATACCAAACTTTGTACATGATCATCGAGATGAGACTAGTCTAGCCTACTCAACCCCTTTTATACAAGATTCAAGGAGGTTCATAAGCTATTTGGGCATATTTGGTATGTTTAACTCGAAAAGATGGTAAATTCCATCCATCCATGTTAATAAGCCCCCCTAATGTGTTTTGGAAGCTCAGCAAAAGAGTTGAACACTTGGGTTCCCGCAATACTATGACCCAAGTTTGCCAATCCATCAGTAGGTTGATTAGTTTTTCTATAGCTATGATTGATCTCGAACCCATGTTCTTCAACTAAACTCTGAATTTCTTTTATGAAATTGAAAATTCTTCAAGGAATTTTCCATTCTCTGTTTATGCATTTAACCAACAGTAAAGAGTTTGTTTCGCCCAGTTTAGTTCTAAAGCCATTATGTGCACACCATTTGAGTCCAAAAAGCATGTTTATTGCTTCTCACATAATATGTGTTTGGATTAAAACTTTACAAAAAAGCATATTTTCAATTATATTTTTGAATTATTATGAGATTTTCTATTTTATGTAATTGGTCAAGATAGATAACTTTTATGGCCTTCTAACTAGCTAGGAGAAGAATAATGTTGTTCATGTTTACTATTTTCTCACTTGAATGAATAATTGTCATCTTAATAAATTGATCACTTACAAAACATCAATTTTCAATTTGAAAAGATAGACCATCTACTTCTAAAATTAAAAAGACGGTAAGCGATATTAATAAACAATTTATGTTTACACATAAAAATTACAAGTTGTAGTTCTAGTGTGTATGCAATTTTATAAATTGTTCAACATACAAATAATTAGAAAACCATGTATGTATCAATAATAATATATTCAGTTAAGATTACAAATGTCATGTGGTGATTTATTTCTTTTTTCAATTAGTAAATGGTAAACAATTCAAATTTCAAATTGTGATTGATTTGTATTGGATTTAATTAGCAACAAATAACTCTCTCTAAATGATAAAATTTGTAAGCTATTTATTTAAATTAATTTACTAATACAAATATAAAGCATAAAATCAAGAAAATAAATAAAATGATTTAAAAAATTGAGGAATATTTTCGTCTTTACATAGATTAATCTCATGGTATTAAATCCTATGTATTACTAATATCACCACAGGGAAGGTATTAGTTATACACCCTATAATACCATGTAGGGTGTATAACTAATCCATTGAATAGTTATACATTTGCCCAAAATTCCTACCAAACATAGTACTAAATATATCATATATAAAACATGGAATATTTCTCCTAATACTCCATACCAAACGACCCCTTAAGGTCTGTTTGAAAAGTCATCAAGTAATTGAAATTGGTGTAATTATTACAGTAGTAATTACGTTGACTTGTTTGTTTGCCACAGTGTAATTACAAATGTACCATTTGATTGTGCAATTAAAAATATATTAATCAACAAACATATGTTCTTAACTTATATAACATAGAATATTAAACGTGTCATACTTTACTTAGTCTAGCAAAAATACAAGTTTAGCTTATAATTTAGCCTATACAAAACAGTTACCAAAACACAAACTACCAGTTAGTCTAGTAAAACACAAATTTAACCTTAACATCATTAAAAAACACTTGCTATACAAACAGTAGTGCCAAAACACAAGCTACTAGTTAGTCTAGCGAAAATATAAGATTAGCCTTAACATCATTAAAGGCACAAACATATACAAAACAATAGTACTAACAGTTTCATCATCCCATTCTTGAACTTTTGAATCATCTGTGCTTGTAGATGGTTTGTAGTAATTACATCTTTTTCCTTCCTAATTAAGTCAATTGGTGTTTTGGGAAGAATTGTAGGTTCACTAACACCAAATTTGTCACCTCTGAAGCTTATTACTTTACTTTCAATTAGTTCTTGTGAGTTCTGTCTCTTTCTCATACTTGTTAAATAAGTTTCTTCAGAAATTGTTCTTGGCTCTAGCCGAGAGTCTTCATCATCTTCCTCAGCTACTGAAATAAAACTACTAGAAACAACATGAAATTCAGGCTAACTTTCTTGTGTTGGTTGGGGGACGCTGCAGTTGATGTCTTCCTCAGAAGCTTCTTCATCATCAATCAAACCTCTTCTAGGCTGTCTCTTCTTTCCCCTACCAGTTTCTTTTCCATGCTTTGCGACTTGCTTTCGCTTAAATTTATTAATAATATCTTTTTACACACAGTATCTAAATAGGCTTTGCACCATGTTTTGGGAGGATACTTGTCTAGTAAACCCGTTTCAGCCTCCTCATCAACTTTCTGATATGTTGAATTTGGTCCTCAAACTCCTCTGAAAATGAGGACCATGTAGCCCACTATAACAATTTTTTCATCTCACCTTCACCCTATCGTTTGCACCAATTTACCTCAATATGTCTTGAACAATATTTTTAATGTGCTTCAGGTAAAATTGTCCTTACTGCATCAAGTAGCCCTTGAGTTTCAAATAAAAATAACTAAATTAATAAAATAATAGTATTAAATGATGGTAAATAAATTGCAACTTAGTAGTATAATATTACCTTCTGCATATTTGATATGAATGCCACTTCTTCATCATTCTGAAGTTCGAGTGAATGCTACAAATGTTGCATGAACCATGCCTAAGTCCTTTTAGTCTCTTTACTTACACCATCCAAACTAGAGGGTAGAAAGAGTTTATATTGTCCTGACCAACAACAACCAATACCTGTCCCTTGATTTTTCCTTTAAGGAATGCACCATCTAACCCAATGAATAGTCTTAACCCTGACTTAAAACCCAACTTTATTACCTTGAAACATATATACATCCAAAGAAATTTTCTCTTACCATTAGATAATGCCTCTTTAGACAAATTAATCACAATGTCAGACCCCTAAATTGCAACTTCTCAATTCAGTAGCATAACCCTCTAGTTTATTGTAAGAGTCTACAACGCTACCATCCAGAGTCTCTAGTAACTCCCCTTTAGCTCTCTTGCACTTTGCTTCACTTACATTTAAATGAAACATTGTACGTAAGTCAGCCTTCATTTCTTAGAATTTGTACTTAGGGTCACTTAGCAATTTCTCCTCAGAATACTGAGTTGTTGTTGAGTAATCCATTAAAGAGTTGTCATATGCTATCCCACACTCTATATGATCTACTAGTGTTTTGACACTAACACCATGAGTGGTCAGATCCCCAGAAATCAGATATATAAATGGACACTCTTCAACACTAACATCACACTTATGTCTCAATATTTTTTATCACTCTTCATCACAACCAATTCTACCTTCTTAGCCATATCATAAAATTTGCAGAAATATTTTGCTTCAGTTATGTCCTTGAAGGACATACCTTTAACAATCTTCTTATAATCTTGCAAACTATCAGTTATATTCTTCTTTTTTTAGTAACAAATTTTTTCAACTCATCAGTATCATAATCTGTACCACTAAACACCGTTTCATTTCACTTTCACTATAGTATGTGCCTTCATAAATAATTGGTAAAAGTAAAAATGAATTGTCTTGCATGACAATATTAGGTACATCAACAAATAATTCACAGTCATCAGTAGTAAACAAATGAATGGATTTATAATCATTAGAGATAAAAGATGATAATGTCCTAACTCCTTCATCACCTACTATTTCAAAATATTTTTCAGAAGGAGAAAGTACAATAAGTTGTTGCACACCAACAAAAGCTAACTTATTTGTGTATTCATTGACTAACTAAAAAAAAGATATAAGATCAAGTTCATACCCTCTTCAATAATGAACCCATCTTTTATCATAATGTGGTTCTGGACTGTTAAGCTCACCACCATGATGAAAGTATTTGGTAATTTCAACCATGTTAATAAATTAAAACAGAGTATATTACTACTAAATAAACTGTTAAGTAAATAAGTCACATTAGAAAAAAGGAATAAGTAAGTTAGTAAATCACATAAGTCAGTACATTAGGAAAAAGGAATAAGTAAGTTAGTAAGTCAAATTAGTAAGCTAAGTGAATTATGTAAGTCTGAAGGCATAAGGTTAGTTAGTTAGTAAGTACTCATATTAGGAAACGAGAAGAAAAAAATTGAAATGTAACAGTCAAAAGAAGTATTAACAGATAAGCTATGTGAATTATGTAAGTCTTAAAACATAAGGTTAGTTAGTTGGGAGAGTTGGCAAAATAGCCACTCTCCAAACTTAATTAAACATTAAGACAAAAGTCTTGAATAATTTGTGGTATAGCCACTATTAATGACATCATCCATGTGCCCTAATTGGCACAAACAAAAGACCTCACTAGGTTTCCATATCTCCACTATGGTCCCCCCTTCTTTTCCAACTAATTTGGAATAATATATATCTATTTACATTTTTTAAAAGTTATATTAAAAAACAAAGAAAAAAAACAAACGGGAAAGAAGAGAGCAACTCGTTTTTTCGGCCAAAATATCCATTTTCAAAGTAATATCATCATCATCCCCTACTCCATCTTCATTTTTACTCCATTTTATTTCAAAAACCGAGCTTCAAAATGATTTTTCCGCCATTTTAGAAATCTGAGAAATCTTCCATAATAATCATGTGATAACTCATTATGGATACATTTTAGTAGTTTAAAAGCATTAAAGATCTGTTTCGCCATTGCAGGAGCTGCATTTTGAACCACGATCTCATTCAGTTGCGTTTCTATATGGATGTTAGACTTCATCGATTGTTAACGACTGATATTGTAATCTATGATATATCTTTGTAGTCGATAATGGCAGTAGCTGAATTTGTTGTTGCTGGTGGTGATTATATGGGAGTATCGGAGGAGACTCCCAAAAGATGAAATTGGAAATCTTTTAGTAAGACAACAGTGCCCATTGCGTTGCGTCGCAATGGTTCATATGACGATATGATTGCAAGCGTAATTGAGGCTGGTGAGTTAACTTGCGAGCCAAATGACTTGGTGATTAGCTATCAAATGAATAAGAGGGGAAAAATACATCCCACATTCCTAAAAAATGATAGGCACGTGAGCTTGTATATGTTAGATATTGGTATTGATGGCTCTAGGCCTACATTAAGGATAAACGTCAATGTGAGGCCTCCAATTGAACCAACAAATTCATTTAACGGTGACAATAATTCGATTGGAAATGAAAGATTGGGTGATCATTCAAATGAGAGCTTGGGTGATAATTCAAATGAGAGCTTGGGTGATCATTCAATGAATATACATGATGATCCAACTAATGTGGAAAATCAGTCGGTAGATGCGGAAGATCCCGAACCCGAATATTGTGAAATGCAGGTACAAAAGGAATTGGGATCACAATCCAATCATTCCTTCTCCGGTGGAACTAATTTATGTATAAACCAAACTTTAAGTAACAATAATGAGTTGCAATTGTTATTAGCCGAAGCGGCGGCAAAAAAGTCTTTTGATTTTGCTACTGTGAAGAGTTGTACTAAATACTTAAAGGTGAAATGTGTATCTCGCAATTGTGCATGGATGTTGCGAGGGAAGAAATATGAGTGTTCGGATAGATTTCGTATCTATAAGTACATTGGCGAACATAGTTGTGACGTTGAACATGCCAACAATAGCCATAGAAAAATTTCAATCAAAGTGATTGCTTCACTTTGTGTAAATATGTATCATGATGGCAAGGGTCCAATTGTTAAAGAAATTCAAAGAGTTATGTTTAATTCTATTCATTGTAGTCTAAGCTATTGGAAATGTTGGAAGGGTGGTGTGGTTGCTAAGGAAATAGTCCGAGGGACAACGGAGAACGAATATTCATGCTTACCGACTTTTACTTACATGTTTGAGACACTTAATGTTGGTTCTAGTTATTGTCTCATGGTAAAAGAGGATAGTCATAAGTTCATGTATTATTTCTTGGCCTTTGTTGCTTGCATTAAGGGATTTGCCCACATGAGAAAGGTAATTGCGGTTGATGGCACTCATTTACATGGTAAATACGAGGGCGTGTTGTTGAGCGTTGTTGCACAAGATACGGAGAATCATATTTATCCGATTGCCTTTTGTATCGTGGACAAAGAGAATGATGCATCTTGGACATTCTTCTTGGAGAAATTGAAGGAGATTGTGGTCGATGAACCAAATTTGTGTTTTATCTCCAATAGACACAAGAGTATCACCAACGGTATTGTGAACGTTTACAATCATGCTCACCACAGATATTGTATGAGGCGCCTCGGTAAAAATATTCGCGTAAATCATCATTGTGGAGATTACCTTTATCTTTACTACAATGCGGCAAAGGCTTTTTCTTTGGAGAAGTTTGACAATCATTTTGTAGAATTCAAGAACAAATGCTCCGCGGTAGCCGTCATCCTTGAGCATGATATTGATTTTGAGAAGTGGAGCAGGGCATATTTTCATGGCAATAGATATGATGTGATGACCACAAATATCACTGAGTCACTCAATTGTATGTTGATAGACGAAAGAGAGTATCCCGTGACATCTATATTTAATTCGATTGCTAAGAGGTTTGGTGAATTGTTTAGGGAGAGGCATGCATATATCCTCAGATCAATAGGTAATCAAATGGTACCGGCTGTGGAAAAAATTGCAAGAAAAAAAATGATAGAGGGCGACTCCTTGTATGTGGAGAATATAACCGGGGGCGACAATCAATTTATCGTGTTCGGTGCGGGTGTTACTGCCTATATGGACCTACTGAAAAAGTCATGTTCATGTAGGGAATATGACTTGATCAAGATACCTTGTGCTCACGCGATGGCCGTTTTGCGATCAAAGCATGTCAATGAGTATGGTATGAGCATCTATGAGTACTCTTCGCCTTTGTATTAAGTTGAAGCGTACCTTCTTGCATACATGAATTCTATTAATGTTGTCCCTCTCGAGTCGAAATGGTGTATTCCAGAATTGCTTAATGTGAACATTCTTCCGCCTCTTATCGATACCATGCTTGGAAGAAAAAAAAGAAAATGTATCAAAGGCATCAATGAGAATTTCAAGAGCAAGAGAAGGAACAAATGTTCAATTTGTAAGAGAATCGGACACATGAGAACTACATGTGTGAACAACAATAAATCTTAAACAAGCTTGATTGAATTTGATTTTGTAATGAAGCTGCTGTTTGTTTTTTGCTACTGTAATCAAGCTTTTGTTTTTTTTTTTTGCTACTGTAACCAAGCAACTATCAACATTTTCGTCAATTTATTGTCATCTATTATCGTAGTTACTCATGATCTAATATAGATCAATAAAAAGATGACATACATTTTGTACACTGTCTATTAAGTTGTGTATTATTAATACATGAAAATTATTGGTATTTGTAATGGAATGATTCTAATGCATGAACTAGAATATGACTAAGAATTAGAATTAGAATGAATTAGAATTAGAATAAATTAGAATGATATTAGAATTATAAATACCAATAATTTTTAATGCACCAAATCAAACAATGCTTAAGAAATATTACCATTAAAAAAAGTGGCATATACACTCTACCAAACGAATCCTTAATGAATTGTCAAAAATATAGATGTTACCATTAAAAAAAGTGGCATATACACTTTTTTAACCATTAAAATATAGATGTTACCATTAAACGAATCCTTATTTGCATATACACTTTTGTTACCGCTGTAAAATTTGTATATGTAAATATGTATTGGTTGTCAAAATATATAGACCTCTTAAAAAATCGATGCATATCTGTGTGTGTGGTGTGTGTATGATCATTGAGATTTACACTCTAACATTAGTAAGGTATATTCGGGTTTATGTCTATGTTAAAGCATTGTTGATATTGCATGTACTAGAATATGACACTTATATATAGACCAAAACTAGTAGGATTTAAAAAATACAACAATTAATTAATAATAAATAATATTTTTGAAATTTATCCAATTAAATAAGTTTAAACAAGTCATATGATCATTTAAGAGTCCACATAAATTGGGTGTGGTGATTAGAGGTGTATGAGGAAGAGGTGTAGTTATACAATCAACATTCTTATAACAATGTTTGAGAAACCATAAGTATATTGTTATAAGAATGTTGATTGTATAACTACACCTCTTCCTCATACACCTCTAATCACCACACCCAATTTATGTGGACTCTTAAATGATCATATGACTTGTTTAAACTTATTTAATTGGATAAATTTCAAAAATATTATTTATTATTAATTAATTGTTGTCTTTTTTAAATCCTACTAGTTTTGGTTTATATATAAGTGTCATATTCTAGTACCTGCAGTATCGACAATGCTTTAACATAGACATAAACCCAAATATACCTTACTAATGTCAGATTATAAATCTCAATGATCATACACACACCACACACATAGATATGCATCGATTGTTTAAGAGGTCTATATATTTTGACAACCAGTACATATTTACATATACAAATTTTACAACGGTAACAAAAGTTCAAATTCCACTTTTTCAACGGTAACATCTGCTTATTTTTTAGTATAAAAGGAAGGAAATTCCTCATAAACAACTCAAAAACCTCCATTTTTACAATGTCTCAAACATCTCAAACATCCAAAGCAAAAAAGTCTTACAATTGTCATTGTGGTAATCCAGCTACGTTGAAGACGTCACACATCGATACAAATCCAGGTCAACAATTCTTTAATTGTGCAGTTGGCATATGATCATTTTTTAGGTGGCTTGAAAATGAATCATCAACGAGTAGCCCATCAAATTTTCAAGGCGTTGTCAAATTTGAATTATTAACAAGCTATGAAAATCCGAAGAAAATAGGGATCTGCTAATGACTTTCTTAAAAGAGGCCGAAGAGCAGAGGAATCACTTCAAAGTGTTGCTAAAAGATGTTGAAATATATAGAGATCAACTAAAAGAAAGGTTGATTTTGGCAGAAGAAAAAGAAAAATGCCTAAAAGCTATATTGTGTGGTTTATTTTTGGTGTTTGCTTTTTGGAAATGTGTAACAAGTGTGTAACATGAATGTAGTGTTGAATAAATAAAGTATTTATCTCTATTTATTGCATTGTTATATCTTTTATTTTTGATTGATAATGTTATAGATCAATGATAACAATTTATAGTATTAGACATACAAGTTTATTAAGACATAGATTAATAAGAAATCTAAAAACCCTTCATAATAAAATATGTACTGTCCAATGTACACTTTTGTCATCAAAAACAGCAATTGTCAAAAACCAATGTACTGTCCAATGTACTTTAACCATGTTCTTAAAAATCAACTTATCAAAAACCTATTGTCTTCAAACCAGGGAAAACCCAACTATCACAAAAATCAATTGTCATAAAAAATGAACAACTTCAAAAATTGTCTTAAAACACCAGGAAATAACCATCACAAAAATCACAACTGCCCTTACTCATCACCACCAACCTCATCATTAAGCTCCATCACAATGCCCATCACGTCTATTTCTTTTTCCACTTCTGCCACATCAGTGGCAAAGCCCCCTTCTTCCAACTTTTCCTTTTCTGCATTCTCTGTTATCTTCTCCTCTTCTTTCTCTTCTTCTCCACTTGCTTCATTTTCTTCTCTTCCAGATTCTCCTCTTCACCTTCTTCTTCTTTCTTTTCTTCTAGTTTCTCCTCTTCTTTTTCTTCATCGTTCTCTTCAATTTTCTCTTCTTCTTTTTCTGTCATCTTCTCCTCATCTTGTTGTTTCTCTTCTTCTTTCATCTCCTCTTCCTTCATCGCTTCATCAACTTCTTCAGCAAAGTATGCATCAACTGCAACAAGATCTTCATCGACTACAGCTAATGGAAGGATATTGTCATCAACTGTTGGTGAAGAAAAGTTGTCATCATCTACTGCAAGATCAGTGGCTAAGCATTAATACAAATACATTATTTTACATAATTAATATATAAATTTATCTACCTTTTTTTTTCTTTTTCTTTTCATTTCTTCTCAATTTCTCCTCTTGTACAAAATCAATAATTTCCACCATTGATTGCTCGAGAGATGCAACACGCTCACACAGACTTTCATCTTTAGACGTACTTGGTACAGAATTCTCACAAGGTTGATTAGGATTGTGATCATTTGAATACTCATCCTCCACATTACCTACTACAGAAGTGAGGATAATGACACCTTTCAAACTGGCCTTTAAGCATCAATGATTATGTCCTTCACTTCGTCCGTATATGGCTTTAATGTTGCCATATAATTTTGTTTGGTCTCACGGACAGTAGGTATGATGTATGGATGCACAACCTAAAAAATAAACATAAATAGTACAAGACCTTCACTAATTTACAAATATTGCTAGATAATAATAAATAAGTTTATAACTTTGTACTTCTCCCTTTGTACTTAAATGGATCACCTTCGACAATATTATCGCTATTTGCCGTGTGCCATCTAAGTAAACAGGGAATTGGTAGAGGAGAATCCAAGGACTTCTTTGCATAAATACCAAGATGAGGAAAAGCCTCATATATCCAAACCTGAAATTAATAAAATAACAAATAAATAAACAGAGACTATGAAATACTATATAAATATATAAGAGTTTAATATTAATCAAGTCCCTAATTGATAAAAATTACCAGAAATGCCCAGGGGAAGCCATACAAAGCATACAATGCATTCCCTCTTTCCTTGTACACTTCACTTTGTTTCTTCAAATTAATTTTGTTCTTCAAATTAAATACTTCAGTGTTAAATCAAAACACTCTTTACCCCACGGATAACTCTTGAAATAATCTAAATCATCGACCATTTTAATGTGGTTTGAATCCACAATCTTAGATCGATCGTCGACAAGCAACATTGAGTGGACGAACCAAACTAGAGAGCACTTCACTTCTGCTCCTTATTCAATCTGGTACCCTTAATCAAACTCAATAACTTTGAACCACTGATATTCTTATTCCTGGTTACTTTATAGTAAAATTTCTCACCTTTCTGAAGCACTTTTTTCATTTTTGCATCATGGGGATATGCTGAGCAATTAAGCCTTGTAATCAATGCAAACTCTTTTAAGCCAAAATAAGCAGGCTTATCATTCACACAAAACCACATCTCATGCAAATTTTTTTAATCAGTTTTGACACGACACAACAACATGTAATGGACCATCTGTCCATTGAACTTGTAATATTCTGGGATATGCCTTAAATGACCAAAACAAGTACCTTTAAAGTCATTATAAATTTTTTCTTGAAGTAAAATATTTCTAAAATCTTGAAAAAGAGTCATTCTTGCTCTAACAGAAATTTTCACTGGAAAAGATTCTAACTCATCCATCCATGTAGTGAGATTATAGGACTTACCAGAGATTTCTCTTGCACAAGTTGGCAAGGACAGAGGATCATCATCCTCATCTTCAATATCTCGGCTATCTCTACTAGTCTCCTCGTCTCCATTGTCACTGTTCTCTTCACTAGACTCAACCTCATCAATAGCTTGGGCAATACTGTCCTCATAGTTATCGATTTCATCCATCGTATCAGAATCCGAGTCATACTTGGGTTCTTCAACTATAACTTTTTCTTTTTTGAACATCTTGAAACTTGTTCAGCCTTTCTTTTCTTGTTTTTACAAGGCTTAGGAACAAATTTTTTAACAATTCCACCTATAGTTTTAGCCATAAATAGAGTAAACCTACAATAAAATATGAAAAATAAATAACAGATATAATAGAAATCAACAATGCGAGTGACATAAAACGCCACTAAAAGAGGGCAATGAAAAATACTGCACTTTGACTTCGTGTAACAACACATGTAATGAGAAAAAACAAGACCAGCAAAAGCAAACAAATACAATGGAGAAAAACAACAATCCACAACAAAAGCCAAAATT